GTATTCAATGAAATAATATCATTGGATTCAAATTTAATTCCATCCATTACAGTAACCCACTTGTAACCTACTGTACAGCAGAGCGACATCCACGACTTACCCGCTTTTTTTCAATATGAGTGACGAAGATATAATTATTGCAAGTGCAGCGTTTGTTTTTACATCGTTAGTTTCTCAAGCAACAAAAATGTTTTTTGATAAACATTAAATAATAATAAATTAATAACTACCTAGTTTAAGTTATAGTTTCATACAAATAATTAAATAAATAATAATATGTATAGGTATTTAATGCACAATAATTATATTATTAGTTTATGACCTATGTGATACACCTAGTTTTACATAATTTTAATAAATTTTAAAAGTTTACTTATATTGTACTGAATTTTAGAAAAAATAAGCCACGTTCAATCATAATAATTTGAGTCCAATATTTTAATAAAAACAACAATTTACATATTTTTTTAAACCTTCATTCGATATTTAAAATTAAAATTTGAAGTTTTGAATAAATCAATATTCTAATTCAAATAGTGTTCACCTATACTATAAAGGTAAGTAGGTAAACTTGATTAATAATCARTTATTCTATGAACTTTTTGAAAGATAATTATTTATTCAAAAATATTTATCAATTTAAAGATAAAATATACATTTTATATTTTTATGTATAAATTATAGTTTATAGCAAATTTGTTGTCGAACACGTCTATACTGATGACGGAGTTAGCAAACATTTTCTTTGATGTTCGTTCAAATACCGCCTATTGAGCGAACATTTTAGAGTTGTACGCGCACACATAGGAAACACRTCCAGACTAGGTGAAACATTCTCAACGATCATATTCGACAACAATGTTCATCCTAGTGTGAACCAGGCTTAATATTATATTTTTTGTCGATGTTATACAATTGAGTTTTCCATTGTAACACTGTACATCCACATATCATAGTATGGTTAAAAATGAATTGATATAAATACATAATTTCATAGAAAAATTACACGTACCCTTTGAAAATATGACCCCTTGGTAGTTTTGACCAGAGCGCATCTGTTAATCTCATATTGAATTATTTGGTAAACTTTATAGTTTTAAAGAAAAAATATATTATTTAAGTATATAACTATAGCACGGAGGGCTAGTTGAAGTATAGGACTGTAAACTGCGATGTGCCGATGTTGGCGGCTTAAAAGTAAATTCGTATGCCTTAAGATTTAAAGAATAAAGATTATTCAAGTATTCACTTCACTTATCAATCACACATTCACACGAKAATAAATATTCATTATCTAAGCACGGACCGACCGCGGGACGGGTGTATAGTGATAACTGATAACACTTGTACTTAACACTTTTCGATTGACTGCTCACCACCACAACTTACTGTCTATGGTAATTGGTAGATTCTCAGCAATGTTTATTGTAAATTATAAATGATAATAATTAATATTATCTACAAACAGTACAAACTACAAACTTTAGGTTTTGGTGCTAAGGTGCTTGGGATCTTCGGATCTCGGTAGTCCGTAGTCMTCTACTCCTCTAGTYCTCGGCTATCTTTTACCGTTGACTTATTGTACAATAATTTAAATTTGTAGSCTAAGAATTTAATGTATTCATTTAATTTAAAACCAAAAACAGATCAACCAGAAAATTATTAAATTTTTGAAGAATATATTTTCAGGTAAATATTAATGTTTATGTACCTACTTGAAATTTTTTATTTCAAATGACCTCTATTCACTCATATTGTTATGTGTAATTGTTTATAGACGTATTTTGAGTGAARAAACAATGAAGTGTTTTTATGAGGTGTTGGAAGTGTCTCGCGATGTCTCTTCTGATGATTTGAAAAAATCGTACAAGAAATTAGCGTTGAGGTGGCATCCTGACAAAAATCCAGATAGGGTTGATGAAGCTAAAGAACAGTTTCAACTAATTCAGCAAGCATATGAAGTACTAGGCGATCCACGTGAACGCCAGTGGTATGACAACCACCGCGAGTATATTATTAATAGCGGTGATACTCCTGTTAATGAACTTAATCTTTTTAAGTATTTTTCACCTTCTTGTTACAAAGGCTTTGGTGATGACGATAAAGGATTTTATTCTGTGTACCGTGAGGTATTTAACACGTTATTGGCCGAAGAAAGTGTTTATTTTGAAATAGATCCTGATGATATTCCAACATTTGGTCGATCAGACAGTGACTATAATGATATTGTGCGGCCATTCTACAACTTTTGGTGTGGTTTCAACACACATAAACCATTTGGATGGTTAGATGAATATGACATACGACAAGCCCCTAACAGACGTGTGGTCAAATTAATGGAAAAAGAAAACAAGAAAATTCGCGATAAAGCTAAAAAAGAGCGTAATGATAAGATACAAGCATTGATAGAGTTTGTACGTAAACGTGATAAACGATTAAAAGYATATGCCGAGAGTCTTAAGTTAAAATCAGCAGAAAACAGTAAGCGAATGGAAGAAGCTCGACGAAAAAGAATAAAAGACAAACAAAAAGAAATGGCCAATTATAAAGAATCTGATTGGTCAAAGTTTTCTAATGTAGAAGAGGAATTAAAGGTGATTGAAGAAAGCCTWATTGCTGAATACGGTAGTAGTGATGAATTTGATTCAGATGATGAAATGGCTAACTGTTTATACTGTGTGGCTTGTAATAAAGTGTTTAAAACTGAAAAAGCATTTCAAAACCATGAAAAATCTAAAAAACATAAAGAAAATATTGACCTTATTAAAGTCGAAATGTTGAATGACGAAAAACTGCTGAATAATGAAGAACCTGTTAGTAATAATAATTCTTCTGATGACAATAATCAAAGTGATTCTGATGAAGAAAGTGTTGTAAATGAAGCAGAATATGATAGTTMTAATAGYAATGAGTCTTGCAATAGTTCAAGTAGTGAAGCTGAAGCAAAAGAATTAAATAAAAATAAAATAAAGAATATAAATCTACTAAATGTTCAAAATGATATTGATACAGATGATGTATTAGAAGCTGATTTAAGTAGTGAAGAAGAAACAACAAATATAAAAAGAAAACCAAATAAAAGAAAAAAGAAACATTCACAGACCATTGATGAAGTTAATGTATTATACTGTTTGACATGTGATCAGTCTTTTAAAACTGAAAAAGCTTTACATAATCATCAGACATCTAAAAAGCATAAAGACAATGTTACTTTAATAAGTGCTAGAAAGACTAATGATGATGCTGATAATTATTCAGTGCCAGAAGTGRAGACCGAAGYAGAATCAAAGGAGAATCAACTTCAAGAAGAACCAACAACAACCAAGTCAACAAAAAACAAAAAAAAACAAAAATTAGTTGAAGCCCCCAAAATCAAAAAGTCTAATCATGCGTGTGGTGTTTGTTCATCAGTATTTTCATCAAAAAATAAACTACATCAACATATAAAAGATGCAAACCATGCAGTTCTAAAAACAGAAGTTGTCAAT